TGTATGATGCAACGTTTGTCCGGCGTACGACGGCGCCTGGTGCGATTTATGCGTCCGGAAGCCCTTTCAGCCTCCCAGGCATGTCCCACCTGCCTCACAGCCACCGACGCATCTCACGGCGGGGTTCTAATTGCGTGCGCGTATGGATGCTCCTATTCCTGCCGCCTTTCTTACAACTAGTTAATGTTATGATGCAACGTTTGTCCGGCGTACGACGGCGCCTGGTGCGATTTATGCCGCCTTTTTAACAACTAGTTATGTTATGATGCATCGGTGGTCCGGCGTACGACGGCGCCTGGTGCGATTTATGCGTCCGGAAGCCCTTTCAGCCTCACAGGCATGTCCCACCTGCCTCACAGCCACCAACGCATCTCACGGCGGGGTTCTAATTGCGTGACCGTATGGATGCTCCTATTTCTGCCGCCTTTCTAACATCTAGTTACTGTTATGATGCATCGTTGGTCCGGCGTACGACGGCGCCTGGTGCGATTTATGCGTCCGGAAGCCCATTCAGCCTCACAGGCATGTCCCACCTGCTTCACAGCCGCCGACGCATCTCACGGCGGGGGTCTAATTGCGTGCGCGTATGGATGCTCCTATTCCTGCCGCCTTTCTTACAACTAGTTAATGTTATGATGCAACGTTTGTCCGGCGTACGACGGCGCCTGGTGCGATTTATGCGTCCGGAAGCCCTTTCAGCCTCACAGGCATGTCCCACCTGCCTCACAGCCACCAACGCATCTCACGGCGGGGTTCTAATTGCGTGACCGTATGGATGCTCCTATTTCTGCCGCCTTTCTAACATCTAGTTACTGTTATGATGCATCGTTGGTCCGGCGTACGACGGCGCCTGGTGCGATTTATGCGTCCGGAAGCCCTTTCAGCCTCACAGGCATGTCCCACCTGCCTCACAGCCGCCGACGCATCTCACGGCGGGGGTCTAGTTGCGTGCGCGTATGGATGCTCCTATTCCTGCCGCCTTTCTTACAACTAGTTAATGTTATGATGCAACG